CCAAGAGAACGTATCCCCTTAATTAATTACATCTTGAGGAGCGCCCAAGAATACTCTCAATTAGAGAAGTTCTGCTTACATTTATGTGACAAATAGTAGAGGAGTTCTGCTTACATTTATGTGACAAATAGTAGAGGAGTTCTGCTTACATTTATGTGACAAATAGTAGAGGAGTTCTGCTTACATTTATGTGACAAATAGTACATTTATGGGACAAATAGTAGAGGAGTTCTGCTTACATTTATGTGACAAATAGTAGAGGTTGTCACAAAGGATGATTATTCAATAATAACATCTCGACACTTTCAAAACTCTCACTAAGCTATAGGGCAGAGAGTGACTCTCTCGCATCCCAAGTAGATAGTAACACATCGTCATTCGAGGTCTATGAAATACAAAGTCGCCCCGTAGGATCTGCATGCTTCCAAGGTCATACCAGGCCATAAAGGCAGATGGTGAATCACCGTATCCCAAACAGACGGTGACTTATTTGCAATCGAGGACTACGAAACGACATTGACGAAGTGTCAATAAAAGTGACATGACTCAAAGAGGGTAGCAAAGGATGGGTAGAGTGATCCTTATCAGGTAGAGATAGTTGAGTCAGGATACGACGGATCCGTCATCCCGGGCTATTGGTATCCCAAGTTTGTTTGGTCATGAAAGTAGTCTACCCAACAGAATCGGAGATCCCTTGTCTGCAATCTGTGGTCCAAGGGGATCTTCGTAGCTTTAAGGTTAGGAGAAGGAAACTCTAATCCTATGATCCTATGTAGGTAGAAAGATGTAGAGGTGAAACTTATACATGCCGACATGACGAAGATGCCACTGGAGAGAAAAATAATGAAGGTACAAGGGCCTATTAAATATGAGTGGGTGTATAACCATGCATGCGAACCATCTTAAATCTGGCTCTAAGGCTATGTAGAACATAAAATGTAGATTTTAAGAAATTCTTGAATTTCTTAAGCCTAAATTTTAATGAGTCTTGAAATTTTTATTAGGATGTTATAGAAAAAATTAACAAATTTAGGTCCATAGAGAGCCTAAGTTACAATGATGGTTCCCAGACAAAGTACAAGTTAAAAAGAGTGAAGCCAATTCAAACATACAAACATGAGAAGTATGAGAAAATAAAGCAAGGTAAGTATAAAATAATAAAAGATCGATGCAGCTGCGTCAGCAACATATTCTAAAAAAGAAAAAAAACAGTCAGTCATTGTGTAAGTATACACCTTATGCTAATTATATACATTAATGTGATTTAGAATTAAGATACAAGACACGAGCAAGCAGCTCCCTGTCCCCATCACGTGGTTATACCGGCCAGACGCCTCAAAACTCGTGCATGTGCCTTATTTATAATATAAAGACTCTTAATAACTCTAAAAAGTTTATATGAAAAATAAAAAATAGGACTCGCCCTTCATGAAACAATGTTAGCAGCCAAGTCAATTGCATGCAACACATATGAGTCATACCTGGTGGGAGGAGCTGAGTAGTGCCTGCAAAAAAGAGTAATGCTCCTCTCTGCTACACGTGTGAGTGTGTTATAGGCACGACTCTTTGCAAGAAAATCGACTTAATATACTACCACAAACTTCAAAAATGGTAATCATGCAAACACACCAAAATCACAAAAGATGTTGTCTGACTAGGACAACCAAACCACTAGATAACTATAGTCATGATATCAAAAAAGACTACATAGTTTCTAAGTCCTTAGCCTAACACATCATTTAACGTAGTGTCCTAACACAACATTTAAGTGAGTGCAGGGTTATGTCAGAAGACTAGCATATGTTTTGACAGGGTCGTTGTCTTCGTCCCCGTCCCAAGGATCCAAGGATTCTAAGAGGCTCCACTAGATGTGAGTTTTGTAAAAGCTTTTGAAAAATTGATCTTATATATGGTCTAAGCTAAATATGAAATAGTTTCAAAGTAGATTTTTAAAATATGAGTGCATACAAGTAATAAAAATATGTAAGATTTTGTACTTTTAAAATAGTTCTTAAGAAATAAAAAATCTAAGTGGCACCTATAAAACCCCTTAGAATCTTAGCACAACATACGCGTGTTGGTCCACGGTGCGATAACTAGTATTACCCATCAGACATCCTCACAGGTAATATAGCTCTTGCAATTTGACCAGCGGAGGATCATTCAACCAACGAGCTAGATTCATCATCAAGACAAGTGTGTCGACAGTGCAAATGCAACCTTGATGCAAACACTATTGACGTGGGGCACCGTGATGTGGAGGTGTCATAGAGCAAGTCTGCCAAGTAATACGTTTGTGGGAGACACAAACACTCGTTAAGAGCATATGAGGGCATATGCTCATAAATGAACAATAGGGTACAAGTGTGAATGTGCTAATGCAGGTGAAGTGAACCAAACATGTGATAATGCAACCTTTAATAGAAACCGTTTGCCAAATCTATTGGGCCGGTGGGGTCGATCGGACGAGCCGATGAAATATATTGATCTATCCTATCGAACTAGTGTGACCGATCGAACGAGTTGACAAAGGATTTTTATCGTGTCGGTTGGGTCGGTAGGGCTGATGAGGCAAACCGGTGAATTATATCATCGATCTGATCAAATCGATGTAGCTGATCAGACTAGTCGACAAAAGATTGTCGGTCACGACGATCGGGCCGCCGACAGGGCCAATCGGTCGCTAGAGGAACATATCGATCGATTTGATTGGGTCGGTGTGGCCGATCGGACAAGTCAACAAAATATTGCTAGTCGGGCCGATCGGGTAGGTGGGGCTGATTGGGCGATTCGACGGAACAAAATGCAATAAGTGATAGTTTTATGCATATTTTGAAAGTCATGCCACACACATAATGCAAATACATGCCAGAAATGAGATTCGATTGATTTTGATGACAAAGATAAGCTCGTCTTAGCATTCTCACAAATGAAACTTAGGGGTGAATTAAGAAATGAATTGGGGGTCACTACAAAGTCACAGGTGACTGCCTCCGTTTGCAAAGAAATTTCTTGGGGAAAGTTTTTGAGGTGTGGTGAACGTCAAATTCATGGTAGTTTTTCTTCTTTACGCCCAAACGACGAATTACGTTCCGCTCCGCCATGAGAATGGAATTGGCGGCACAAATGCGTTGGGATATTGGATTAGAAATGAAAAAAAGGATAGGTTGTGTTTGTAGGATTCGCGGGAGCGGGGGT